AGTCCATACGGAAGGTGTGGACCCTCTGTACCCCAGGAAATGTGCTCCACAGTGGCTTCAATCATCTTTGTGCACAGAAGGCTTTGAAGGGATAAGGCAAGGATGCTTGTTGGTGGATCTCCAACTATATATAACCATTTTGCAGTGGGTGTAGGTACAGCAGATGAAGCTACAGCAAGTGCTTAGGGGTGGTTCCTTTGCTACCTCTCAGTGCCACATGGGAAAATATCAGCCACTCCTGACTCTGGCAAAACTCCACTGTACAGAACTGGTATGAACAGGCTGAGCCCAGGGATCTGGATTTGGCCTTCCATTCATAGCATTGGCCTCTTGAACCATCACTTACCTTGAAACAATTGGGAACAGCCACAGCTTTTTTTCCTCTCCAAACACTTGCTGGAGATTCTTTACGAAGCCCAGATTGAATCCATTTTTATCTGGACCATTTTGAAACACTGGAGCTGAGAAGGCCTCTATGGACAGATTCAATTATAGGAAAAAAAAATGAAAGAACCAAACATTATTGATGCATGGCAGTAACATTTACTTTGCAGATACCATGGGCACATTAAACAATTAAACACATTATGTCATGGAACATTGTGGATGGTTACAGGAGTGAACATGGAGATAATAAGCCTATGAATCTTTTGATTACAGTATTCTCTCACAGACAGCACACTCCAGAATATATTATGCATCTTGTTTTTGAAAGGATAAAAGATCCTTCCTTGTAGCAAGTAACTGAATGGGTAGCAGCAGCTAGGAAGCCAAGCCTGCTGACTCTTCTGTTCTCGGTGGATCACTGCAGAGTTTACTCAGTTTTAGCTGATGAATAGCAAAAATGACTCTTACCATATTTCTTGCATACAAAGCACACTCCCATTTCCAATAAGTTTTTTGGGTGAAAGATTTATGTTGTATGTAAGAAAATGTGGTTGTTCCAGTATCTTAAAATGGAGGGCATTCATTTAATTTTGCAAATAAATCACACAGAATAACCCAAGAACCAATAAAAATGTACTTGTTTAAGCCCCCAAAATTCAGAATGAACATCATCAATTCATGTATCTAACCATTTCCAGTGTCCCTAATGAAATTTTTACTATACAAACTAAAAAATGCTGTTTTCAATGACGGAGAAAACCTCCAATGGCATGCATTCAAAATTAAATGTTTTCTGTTATATTTGTTGGAATACCTTGAGGTGAACAGCAAACCTCTTTCTTTTTTATAACACTATTTCATGGTGAACACAAAGTCTTACCCAAAGTAGACCTATTTCTACTGATGAGCCAGCAGTGGTAGCCGAAGAGAAACATCAGGCTTACAAAAAACATGACTGCCACAAAAAGAAGGAAAAGCACATGGAACTTTGAACGTCCATTAGTCAATTCACCCTGGGAAGGAAAGCAAAAGGGCATAAATGGCAAGAAAAATTGAGAAAGAAATTGTTCCTTGATAGGTTAAATGTTCCACTATATCTAATAAACATAATATGGGGTTTTTAGACTTTCACATTTAAAAATGTAAAATTTTTGACTTGCTACAAAGCACAAGACAAAGAGGAGACAGGCAGACTTTTCTCCACTTCTGGGATTTTGCTACTTATTTTTTTAATGGAACAGGTCCAGTTTGTTCACAGTTTCCCATATGGGCATCAGAAGCACGTCTTATGCCCACGGTGCATTTGGCAGGCAATGACAAGCTCTTTGAAAGCCTGTTCGCATTCTGCTGAATTTTCTTTAATCTTCATGTTTTCCTGGATGCACATTAACTCACTGCACCTTTTCCAATGGCTACCTTCCAACTTAAGAAAAATCAAGAAATCTGAACTCCTTCTTGATAACAACAACCCTGAAGTACACTAAGTCCTGGGGACAGCTCACTTCACAGTGAATCTAAGCTAAGCAGAATCTTACAGGTGGCTGAAATGCTTTCACCCTAAAACAGAGGAGCTAAATGCCTAAGAGGTCCTCCAGCCCAAACAGCTCAGAGACAGGCTTTTCCTGACTCTTGGAAGTGAATACGTATGCAGTAGGGCAACAGTCTGCCCAACTGCATGTGCCTCATGCACTAAACTGTATTTATAGTCCCTGAGTCTTCCTCAGTATGCAGAGCAACCTTAGGGGTGTTTGGGTCAGAAGTTTTGTTCAGTACATCAATTAAAAAATGACTAAGCTAAGGTACGGAGAGGCTAAGTGACTTGACCAGCATCACACAGTGCATCAGCAGCACCACAGAGACTAGAAACCAAGAGTCTGGAGGCCTGGTCTCCCATTGTAACTATCAGCTGACACTACCTCTGTCTAAACTAATTAGAATTTAAAAGTAACACTCAGTATTTCAATCAACTTTTAAGTCAGGAAAGGAAGACAGTAAGGAGACACTGAAGGTCAAAGCAGTTTCTGAAAACACTGTATCTTACAATCAATGCATGTAGATCAATAGCAGGATACAGCTTTTTATATTAGTTCTCAGAGCAGCTAGGAAGAGGGCAGGTGTACTGCAGGAACTAAGTTTATGGAGAGCACTAGACACAGTAATAAATGAACAACACTAAAGTACTGTGTATCCTCTTTGTCTGCCCCTTAGCGTGTTAGACTTGACCCACAACAGCAAGGCTGGGAAAGTGAGTCTGGATATTACAGGAAACAATATAACTGGTAAAAAAAACAACAAACCCACCCCACTTAGGAATTCCCTGTAACAACAGTGAAAATATTTAAGTGGTTTTCAAGCAGCCACTTCATTAGCATTCAGTGCCAGTGACCCAGGAAATTCTACCCAGAAGACAAATTATCCCCCAATCAGCAAAGACACTCCCAGTGATGACACTGTATGATTGTGCAATATTTCCCAAAAGCAGTTAGCATTTGGATTTTGGATGTATCACTGTACTGTTGAAACCTGAGGCCCTGGTTTTTATTCACTGGTTTCACTTCTGTAAGTGCATTGGCTTCAGTGGAGTGATTCCTGATCCGTAAGTGAGCAGAATAAGGTCCAATGTACATTATGACCACCGTGATACGCCGATTCTGAACTACATTTCATCTTGGTGATCTATTTCTAGTCAAGAGGCGTCTGACCTCCATTACCTTCAAGTGATTTTGAACTACATATATATGTCTTGTTAAAAGATACCTAAACTTATTTTTCAGAAAGCATGGCTTTGTGAGCCAAGCTTCTGGTCTGAAATTCCTGTTTCCCCTTCCAATTTTGCATGTCTGAGTCACAGTGGGAGTAACACTCCCATATAGACTTTGGAGAAAACACCCTATTGCTGAAATCCAGAGTCTCTTTCCATAGGGTGAAAGTAAACGGGTACCACAGGACCACATAAAACTCCAGTAAGAGTTATAAAATAAATAGAAGTAACCAGATTCCAAAACTTACTGTCCAATACTTAATGAAATACTTGAAGACTGTTGCAGCAATATACAAGCAATACAACAAAGAATACGCTAAGAACAGTAGAAAGAATTTGTAGTTAGAAAATCCAATGCAGTTATTCACCCTAGAGAATAAAAGCAAAGTTGAAATCAGGATATGTACAGCAACATGGTTCAAATACAAGGAATATTAATTTTTTTCTATTATTCTTTAAAGGTGTTTGATTAAACAAAATAGCATGTTCAATAAACAGTTCCCCTTAGTGGTAATAGTTGAACATAATTCTGTTCTTGTTTAACTTTTGTATCCTACCTGCAGGCAAAATTTACACTTAGCAAAAACAAATTTTTTAAATATCAAAAGACTTGGTTTTCTCAGTTTGCCTACAACGTTGGTTTGGCACATAGGCAGGCTTAACCTGCAAAATTTAGAGTTGTGTTTGGTGTTGAAAAACCCAAAACTGAATGTATTCCGATCGGGATCCTAATTTTGCTTGTATGGACCACTTGTAAAGTACAGGGGCTTGGTTCACAGTGATTTGTACCATGTCGAGTTACCTGCATATATACAGCCAAGTAAATGCTAAATGTTAGTGCAGTATAATTCTCTGCTCACATTAATGGAAGCATCTTTATGGCCACTTTATAGAGGTATAAATGACCTCAAAAAGGTGCAAAACAGTGGGGAGAAAAGGTCAGGTCTCACATCTGGGTTGGAGTTCAGATTTGAAACACTCCCTAAATTTGGGAATAAAAATCTGTGGTTCTGCTTCATGCCTGTGTCTATGTTGTCTCTGGTTCCTGAAGTCTCCCTTTTGGAAAAAAGGAAGAGAGCAGCAGAGTTTGAGAAATCAAATAGCAACAATTCAAAAATCTCAACCAGCCAGTTCTAGAATACAAATCTATACAGCCACTCTCCAAAAGGGATTTTTAAGTGTATAAACACACACACACAATTGGTGGGATCAACTACTGGTTATATCCCTGACTGATTACATACATAAAATTAAAGGTCGGGTCAAGGCCCCTTTGAAAACCTGGGCAATAATCAAAGAAGTTAATTTGTTATTTAAACTGTGTCAATACAAACACTTCTTAAACACAGTTAACAAGAATGTTCTTGATCTGTCACTTTGAAATATTATATGCTGTGGACAACTTCACAATATGACCATTTCATACCGTGACAGACACACCAGGAGTTACATGCAGCATTCGTGAATGGAAGGGGCATGCAAACATGCTGTTAAAGACAAAGATGTTTAAACAGTCTTTACTTTCAAAAAAAATCTACAAACCAGTTTCCAGGACATACCATGGGCAATGATGATCCATTTTCAGCACACATCTGCAGGAAGACATAAAGAAAAAGGGAAGCAAAGAAGGTAAGACCTATGTTCTGTACTTAACCATCATTTGCAGATCAGCAACAAAGTCTTCTTCAGATTTTTTAACGCATTAAAAAAACTGAATTTACTAATATTTGTCTGTTCAGTGGAACTTGCATTAGACAGATTCCTTCTATCACCTGACTCCCCATGTGGGAAAAGGTATAAAATACTACACTCCTATAAGGGGGACAAAAAGTCTTGTGGGTGCTAATACTAAGACTTATGCATGCAGGTGTTTGCATTAAGGTGCTGGCCCATGCATGTACAAAAATTCAAGGTGAAGACCCAACAGAAGCCCTCTGAAAATCTTTCCCTTAGTGTTTGGCTGTTCTTTGGATACCTCCATATGTATAACTACACACGTGGGAGCCAGTCATTTTTTGTGGTCAATGCTGACATTAGAGTAAAAAACAAGCCAGTAACTCACATAGCACAAACAGAACAGTGGTGGCAACGATCAGGTTTGATCAGCTGGCATCTATCACAGAATCGAATGGCTGAAATTAAACACAAAAATATTAGCACTGGATTGTGTTACACAAGAAGCCAAAAAGAACACTTAGTATTCTGTCCTCGCCATTTACATTTTCCTCTTATCATTGCGATCCTCTCCTGCTTTACAAGCTGGGTGTGTTTAACGTTGATTTTGGCTGCCAAGCTGGAAAACAGATGGCAGAATTCTGAACCACTGCTTAAGAACTGGCTTTGGGGCAGGAGTTTTCTCTGAAGTATATAACCAGCTTAATGCTAGTCAAAAGAGATGGATATATGCAGGGGTGAATCCAGGATTTCCCACAGGGAACAGCAACCCACACTGCAGGGGTGGCTGCACTCCTGCAACCAGCCTTCTCTGCTCCCACTAGTGTAGGCAAACAGCTCTGTGGTAGCCTTTTGGGACTTCTGTAAGCTTACACTGTGAGCTGCACAAATGCTGATCAGTGCTAGTGCTGGCTTGAGTCTGAAGCAGTCGCAGCTTTAGTCTAGAAATTTTCTCTGACTGTCCCCCACCTGCACGGCTGTGACTTGCCACTAGAGGCCTGGTGAGCCGGGGAGGACCAGGAGCTGTAGCTGTGAGTTGCCACTAGTGGGCTGGTGAACCAGGACAGGCTTCTATCTCTGCTCTAGGGATGGGAGTGGGGTGGAGAGATGTGAGAGATCCTGGGACACTGAAGGACTTCAACTTGGGTAGCTCATCTGTGGGGAGTGGTCACACCTTAATGCAGTGGTTCCCAACCTTTTTAGATAGCAGACCGGCAAACCTGGGACCGGAAGTGACCGTGGACCGGCAAACCGCAGGCTGGAAGTGACTGGTGTGCTGCAGACTGATAGCTAACCCTTTTTTATACTTCGTATAAAAAAGGATTGGAAAGGGTTGGCTGCTGGTCCACAGTATGCCAGTCACTTCCAGTCCATGGTTTGCTGGTCCACAGTCACTTCTGGTCTGGCAGCCAAACCTCCTGCGGACCGACAGCCAACACTTCGTGGCCCACCACCGGGCCACAGCCCAAGGGAACCTTTGCCTTAATGGAACAGGAGCTGGGTAGTACAAATCAGAGATAATCCTGCCTTGGTGTGGTGTAACTTTAAGCCACATATGAGTTTAAGACCACTTTAAGGTGTTCAGGTGTGGACAACTCAGGGGTTAAGAGCCCCAGGAGCCACCCAAAATTACCATGTAACATGACCCTAAGTCCCTAAAGCAGATGAAAATCCCTCCCCGCCCTTTCTTGCTCAGAAGCAAGCCTCTCCACTTCCCCCTATCATTCTACCTTCCCTCCTGGTAGGGATGCTCCACAGCCATATGGGCTGAGTGGGGACTGGGTCTCATCTGGGTAGGGGACAACGGAAACAGCCTGTCAGAACAGTAGTTCCCACCACCCTGCCAGGTCACAGCACAGGGAAGCGGAACCTCCATGCTGCCGTCGTCCCCATTCCCAGTTAAGCGGCCCCTGGGCAACAAGCAGGAATGGCTCTGGTGCTTCCCTAGCCCTATGTTAGTGGGGAAAGGCACTGGGGGAGAGGAAAAGGGAGGGAAATGCATTCTTGAGCACAAAAGGGAAAGAAGAAAGGTTTCCCATTTGCTTTAGGGACTTAAAGTGCCCAGAGGCTCCAGTAGCACACTCCAATCCAAAAGCGGGGTGTAACCACGCCACTGTGCTCTCTCTGGATCCACCCTGGATATCTGCATACATATCCCTGTCTCTCCATTTGCACTGTGGCCTTGAAAATGCTGTGCTGCCAGGACAATAGTGGCTTACATCAAATGCCTGACTAATGAAAATACACAGCATTAAAACCTGTCGCCATTCCAAATTTGGAAGCCCTGGAGACTTCAACAAGAAGGCAAAGTGCAAATGACTGCAGAGCAGGTCCATGGGGGATAACCTATTTATTGAACCATGTCTTCATCAAGGTCAAACCCCATTTAATTAAAAAAAGGCTATGGGACACTACCAAATATACATTTGGGGACCCAACCACGTTCTCCACCCTTGACATATAACAAAGAGGACAACCTAATGCTTCAAAACAGCTGGGACTCCACTTACAAATGGAATAAGTATCCAAGGAACCTTTTTCTTTCCCCCCAATCAAAAAAGATTAGAGGAGGGAAGACAGGAGAAAAATCCTTTTACACTAATAATATTTCCTCAGCATTAGCACAGAAATCCTTTAGTGGGACGCCCTGGCACTGGGAAGGTTCGGTGACTCTGCAAAATAAGCTGGATTGCCAGTACATGCTACTTAGCTTGACTGATTAGATTTGCTTCAACAAAGCCCTTTGCTGAGCTGACCTCCATTCCCCGTTCTCGTGTACACTGGCAGCTTCCTTGCAATTTCAGCAAGAATCTGCCTCTGCACCTCCGGCCTCTCTTCATTTTCATAGCGTTCTTTGTCAGTGTAGGAGATATGGAACTAGGAGCAGAAGTGATGAGAAAACCAATTACCCAAGTGTAGCGGAGGTAGTATTTAAAATCCAGGGCTGGTTGGAATAATTATTATCCTCCCACTCCTTTCAAAGCACAAACATTAATCTGACATGAAAGTGCTTTTGCTTACAAGATAAACAGACAAATAATTAGTGGCGGACAGACAGAACGCAGGGAGACTAACTGCTGGGAGACACAAAACTGAAGGGAAGGTCACAGAATAATAGATTAATTTCACTACTACTTGCTGCTTCAGACATTCAGACAAAAATAATAATAGCAATGATGATAATAGCAGCACTTACCAGGCATGTTCCGAGCTAGACGCTGTTCTCAATTACATTAGTTAAAAATCATGGCTGACATAAAAGTGCATCTCTGTAATTGTGGTCAGACTTTGGCCCGAACAAGTGCTGCACAAACATTAAGTTGCCTGCCTTAATCACCTCCTTCTGAAGCAGGTGTTTTGTAAATTTTGTAAAGCACAAAAAAGGTAAAGTGACTTGCTCAGAGCTGGAAGAGCTTTGGTATCTGCCCCAGCCTGCAGCCAGCTTCCAGAAGAGGTAAGAGCGGCCAGCATTAGAACCAGGGAGGAATCTAGCTGGACCCCACACCCAATAACCAAGCACACCAGGTCCTTTAATTTGGGAGGGAATCTTAATATGGCACTAGCAGTGCAACAGTGCTGCTGTTCAGGAGACCTGTGCTCTACTCCGAGTAATGGCTTCTATGAAGGCAGGGAGGCAAGGACTCATCGAGCTCTGAATATAGAAGACAAGTCCTTCATCAAGCAGAACTCTCACGGTACTCCTCCAAGGAAGCCAGATGGTGTAAAGTCCCCAGGGTTTGGCTCAATTTGATAAATGCTTGGAGATCAAAGAAGCTATAAGTATGTAAGTTAATGATCATAAATACCTTTATCCTCAACAATTTTAAATCCTGTTAGCATCTGAGCTACCTGAAAAGACAGCTTTAAAGTAATACCATGTCTGATTTAAACTCCTCAGGCAGTAGAATTTAAATGATTTTCAGAATAGTTAAACTTCCCTGTTTATGGACAACTTTCCATCTATTCAGGAAGACAGATAATTTGCCTTGGGCAACAAAAAGTTCTCCTTTTAATGCCTTCACTTTCATCTGGCCTTAGATTTGCAGTGCGTGAAAAATTCTCAGTTCTTACCTTTTTATCTGGCTGCATTGGGAGAGTAAAAATAGACTTCCAGTATGTCCACACAAAGAGCACAAAGATGACATGGAATACTGCGAGGTAGACCACTAGAGGAGAAGACAAGAATAAGGACTTGTAAGCACAGGTCAGGCTATGGTTTTCATCACTTATGGTACTTCACTTTAAAAACAGATGTGCTCCTCATGCATTTCATGACAGAGGAAAAAAACAAACGTACTAGGACGTCTCTCTTAGTCCATGTGAATAGTCTTTTAAGCAGGCAGGCAAAACTATGTCTTCGTGGTTACTGAGAAAGAGAAGCAAGGCAGGGTGCCTGGCACACCATGACTTCATGAAAGCCTAGATGATTTGGTGCAATCCTATTTCAATATATGAAGTGACTTACTTTTGGAGGAGCAAGAAATAAGGCATAGGGGGAGGGAAAGCAGGCCACAGGGCAGTTTTCCATGCACTGTACAAAGCACTTGAGCATTCTTTTTGATGCTCAAAAGCCACCACAATATTGATTAGTGCTACATCTGCAGTGACTTGAGAGCCCTGTTTTAAGCATGCTATGTAAACAGCAGTGATGTGAGTGCCGTCCCCTACCTTTATTTTGAACAATTCTAACAGAGGGATACAACAACCACAAGAGGAATGAGGCGCTTTTGAATCAAATCCTGCATCCTTATACCTATTTTATGGATTCACTAATGTAAAAGTCGCATGCACACTTCAGGCCCTTCCTATGTGATTCATCAAATTATCTACCACAGGGTAACTCATTGTCCTCCTGAGTTTTTGTTTGAAGTGTACTTCTGGACTATGGTAATTTTCTGAGGGCTTTTTTTTTTAAATTATGCATGAGGAATCTATTGCAAAGCTGGAAACGGAACTTAAATCACCTGACTTCCAGTCATGCCTCTTACCCCCAAGACCATTCTCTCTCTGTTTTTATGTGAGGTTACATCTCTCCCTGACACAGTCAACGCTGGCAACTGGCTGTTAGCAGTATGTCAGCCTAGATACATTAGTGATAGTTTCCTGTGCATCATTCATTATATATTTCAAAAGGATATAGGTAACTTCCGTACACCAGTACTATGCATGGTATTTCTGTATTAATTAGGACTGTGTTGTGTATTAATTAGGACTGTGTTGCCAGACTAGAGACATAGAGAAGTTCTTAGAGGCTGTTGTGGCCCCAAATGCTTGTTTTCCTTTCCCTGTGAAATAAAACAGTAACTTTACAACCCCTTCCACTTAGAAAATTTCCCTGAGTTTTCCCAGAATCTAACTGACAGCAACAGAGAATGTCTACCATGACAGTGCAAAGCAGTTGTAAGCTAGTTAAGAAACTTGCCTCTGCAAAGTAATGGAATTGCAGATCCAAATTCTCCATGACCCAAGGAGGAAACCATGCACTAAAGAACAGCCGCAAACCCCCTTCAGGAGGGGGTACTGATTTTTAAATGTCATTCAGTCATTCTTCACCTAGCATTTAAGGAGAGCATGCTTCCTGCAGGTTCTGTTCTGCTGGTAAGGTGGTATAAAGTCTTTTGCGGGAAGGAGGGGATCTGAACGATTGTGAAGATTCAGGTGCAGATTTTACAAAGAATATCTGTTTTGTTAGAGGGTCACAAACCTATTGCCATAGTGGATATACTTCCTTTGTGACCATTTCATATAGGGGCAGCTATTTGTTGTTAAGAGGATCTGGTTACTGGAGATGGAGAGGAGTTGCCCTAGAGGCATATTTTTAATGTGTGCCAGCTGGCCAGGGTTCTCAAGGGACAGTGCCAGCTGAAGATAGCGAGAGCTATTCCTCCCCAGTCTCTGTGCCAGGCTCAAGGGGGAAGTCAGAATGGGAGCTGCCTATGCTGGTTGTCTCTCTTGGGAACTCCCTGACATTAACTGATACAGTGCCAGATTCCAGCCCCTTCACTCAATCAGGCCATTACAAAAGGGCATGCAGCAGGAGGCAGAATCTGGGCACAACGGTCCAAATGGCAAAAGTCCCACTGACTCCCTTCCTCAGGGCCAGAATTTGGCTCATTACCTGCTTGTACCAACTATACCTCTGTCTAATCAGATAAGATTGCTCCTCTTGCCTGATTCATTCAGTGACCCCAACAGCCAGTTTCTGCAACATCAAAACAATTTCTCTGAGAATAAACTTCCACATTACCAAATGAATTTACAGAAGGTGCAAGCCAGTGACAATGGGACAAAAACTCTTTTGTTTCTAGGTCACTGGTCCTAATTCATCCAGACTGGTAGCAACCAGAAATCATTACCATTCATTGGCCTACATACGGTGTGTCGTGGTCTTGGGTGAAACAGAGCTATTTAAAAAGAAACATCACAAGTGGCCTTAAAATGGAAGTCTCCAGAGAGCGATGAAAAAAGTAAATGAGGCCAGAGACTGACATACCAATTAGAAAGGATTTTTTAAATAGAAAAACCTTAAAGACCTTCAGCAGAACAGTGTGTGTGCATGTGTCTGACTGTCCGTAGGCCATGGGGGAAGCCTCTACTTGCTTTAAGAATAAACAGACGATATCCACATCTAACAAGTTTTCTCTATGCAGAGGCGAGAATACTTGTACTGATGGGTTCTGTATACCTCTCTGTAATCCAAAACAAAGGATAAGGAAATATTGGTGGAGAATGAGAACTGAATGGAATTCTAGGAAAATCTCATTTGTGAAGTTTGCTGGAGTATGGAATTGTTTGTTTTCAAATGAACTGAAGCAGTCTAATATTTGACACTTTAGTTCACGCTGCCCTTCACCCCTCCCCTGTGACAGCTGCACACATATAAATACACAAAGCTGATTTTCAACTGTTGGGGTTTATTTTAAATAGATGTTCATGTGCTTTTAGAAATAAAGACCACATGTCAAGGTCTTGGATAAGATTCACTTACCTCTTTCCACAGGGTTGGTCAGAGTCACTGAATAAAAGAAAGAAAACAAATGTATGTTTAGAGACTGCTCTGAGATTTATGTTTGCTGTATAATCTTTGTTAAAACAAAATGGAAATTAAAAAGGAAGCAAATTCAAGCTGAAAGGCTAATAAAAATGATCATGTATTTTATCATTAAAGATAAACTCAATCAAACATTAATGTACAGCTGGTAAGCAACTTTTTTTAAAATTTATTCACTCAAACAGTCTCCATAATAAAACATACAAGCGCCTTAGTTATGCCATATTTTCCATTTGCACAAAACACAATTTTTCTTGGAGGTCCCAATTAACTCGATACCTGCAAGCTAAACAGGGCTCCTCTAATATCCCACCCAAATAACATCTTCACTCTTTACTGCTACGCCTGCTTGGAGCTAGTCTCCAGCTGCTTTCATTCCTATGCTCCACTTCCTGTCCGGAGATATACGTTCCATCTTACAGCTCCATAAATTAAAATGAGAACATAGTACCTGACCCAATAACCCAATCACTAGCACTCTGGAGTGACATGCAGGAAACAATGATTTTATTTGACATCTCTACTGGGCTACCCATGGCCCTACGGAGCCCACTGCTCCAACCTGCAGGGAGGTGGGGAACACTATTCAACAGCTACTTGTACTGATTGAAGGAAGCGTGGCTGTCTGGTCAACAGTGGCAAGAGCTCTGTGTTGTCTCTAGTAATATCCTCAGCCTGATCTGAGGAATGCCAAAGTTGGCAAGCTGCAAAGGGAGACCTGTCCAGTCTGTAACTAGCATTTAGTGGCTACAAATATTAACACTGATGGTAAATATAAAAAGTAAATTCTTAAGACTGTCATGAGCCAGAATGTTGGGTTTTGTTCATTACCAAAAACTCAATCAAGAATTTTTAGACCTGAGTTTTTATCTGAAATTTTCCTTCTTCCTCCATTTCCAAATTTATTTTTTTACTGGAAAGAAATTCCAAAAGTATTGGCATATCTGAACCCTGTAACAAATATGTCAGATATATGTATAGCTAACTTTTTAATAAAAGGGTAAATAAACACTATCTTTGGGAAGCCAAAGTGAAATGGAAGGTACATGAGTTTGCAGACCACTTTACGCATATAATCAGGTAGCGTTAGATAGTTAGATATAATCTAACACAGCATGGCAGGAGCATTTACACCTCAGCTGGTTGCTTACAACACAGGATTACTATCACTCATCAGGCTACAGAGAACATGGCTGTGCAAACAACTCTTATGTAAAAAAAACCCTTTTGCATTGTGATCACTTTTACTTTCCTAAGTTAACACAGGTGCGTTCAAGGCCTATCCTTAAATGGGAGACTTCTCAAAAAAACCCCCACAGGGTACACTGGAGGAGAAACTATGAATAAAGGTATGTGATGGTATTATCTTGTACCAGATCAGAAGGAGGAGGTTATATTATGGTTTAAATTAACTACTATCTATACAGTTAAGATGAACTGTTCCAAATACTTGTTTGACACCACACAAAGTCAGTGGCAGCAAATCTACAGGTTTATCAAAACAGATGAAATATATATTTTTTACTGGAATGCTGAGCAGACGTGATCCACATTTAATCACTTTTCTGAATACAGTGAAGGTATCTCCTATTCCAGGAAACACTGCCTAAAAACCATAGACTCTATTCCTCATTCATTTAAAATATTTTAACTTCTGGGAGTCCATCCATTTCTTTTGGCCTTTTGGATCTTCCTTTTTTTTTTTTTTTTCTCAAACCAGGAAGAGGGAGGACTCTTACCCACATTAGGTTCTATTTACAGGCGGTCCTCAGACTTACGACACAATCAGTTCCTGAACACCATGTCCTGAGTTGAAACGTTGCAACTCAGAACTGATTTTGCCATAGGAACAATGTTATAACTAAGGCCCGATACCCTGTTTTCACTAAGAAGTAACCCAGAATTTCGTACTACAATGTATCTATATTGTAAACAGCAATCATATTGATTTGGAAGGATTTCTTTGAGGTGATTTTCCTGGACTTTTTGAAGGGTTCTTGGCTGGAGTCTTCTCAGGAGTCTTGACTGCAGGTTTTTCTGGAGTCTTGTCTTGTTTCTTAAAGAAAGTGTCCAAGGAAGTTTGGACAGATGTTCTCCAAGGAGACAGGTGATGCAGCAGACGTGTACGCTGGTATGGCGTGGTGCCGGATCCAGCATCATAAAGTCGAAACTGACGTCAGAATGTCGAAACAGGGTGTCAATTTATAAACATCCTAAGTGCCATTTGTTGCAACTCGAAAAGTCTTAAGTCGAGGACTGCCTGTAGTTAATTAATCTCTGACAGAGCATAACTTGGGGAAACGGATGTTTCATGGGACTGGCAGCGAGGTAAAAAGTCTTCCATTTCTGGTTTGACAGTTTGAATCCAGTGGTAGTGACTAAAAGATGTTAACATCTAAAGGACGTAGGATGGCCAGGATGAAAGCCCTCTCAAATCCCCCTCAAAAATCAAAAGCCAGTCACTAACTCCCCTGCTGGCCAGCTATACAGAGCCACCAGAGCTTGTATGGATTGCCCATCTCAGTAACAGCCCCTTCAGATTAGGGACACAGCAAATGGACTGGACAGCATCGGGAATTTGACCTTGACAAATCTGCTTGTGCTAGGATTGTCATGCAGGCATCTTTCCTTCACAATCCACCCACTTCAATTATGTAGATAAGAACAGGAGCTGAGATAATTAATGATTAGGATGATGAGTGCACATTTAGCAAATTCACAGAAAATGCCAAGTTGGGCAGAGTTAGAGATACTCCAGAGGGCAGGGCCAGGATCCACAATGACCTGAACAGGATGGAAAAAATGGTCGACAATGAATCAGATGAGGTCAAACAAGGACAAGTGCAAAGTTCTACACTTCGGAAGGAAGAATTGCATTCATAAATATGGGCTGGGGAATGGCTGGCTGGGCTGCAGAAATGGACCTGTGGGTGATAGTGGATCATGAGCTGAATGAGCCAACAGTGTGCTCTTATTACAAAAAAAAAGCCAATACGTACTGGGGTGTATTAACAGGAATGTCTCTTGAAAATCAAGGGAAGTGATTCTTCTGCTCTATTTAGCACTGGTGAGGCCTCACCTGGAGTACTGTGCCCAGTTTTGGGCTCCATACTTCAAGAAGGATTTAGACAGTTTGGAAAGAGTCCAGCAAAGAGTAACAAAAATGATTAGGAGCCTGGGAGGCAAGACTGGTGAACAGAGGCTGAAAGAACTAGGATTACTTAGTCTAGAAATGAGGAGCTTGAGAGGGGATTTGATAGCAGTCTTCAAGTACCTGAAGGGAGGGAGTCTTCAAGTACAGAGAGGAAGGAGATGAGCTTTTCTTTGGTGCTGAACAGGACAGGATTAGGAGCAATGGCCTCAAGGTGCAGCAGGGGAAATTTAGGTTGGAGATTAGGAGGAACTTTCTCACTATGAGGGTGGTCAAGCACTGGAGCAGACTCATGAGGTAAGTTGTGGAATCGCTATCCTTGGAAGTTTTCAAGAGCAGGTTAGACAGACACTTGGCTGGGATAGTTTAGTCAAGGATGCTCCTACCTTGAGCAGGGGACTGGACTAGATCAGTGGTTCTCAACCTTTTTTGTACCAGAACCCACTTGTAAACATAGATGGCCAGTCCTGACCCAGTAAATACTTTAGTAGAAAACAGCTCCCTGGCCCTGCCAGTGCCCCTTGCTCCCGACCCTCTGCCCCCGGCCCCGAGTTGCCTCCACAGCTCCCACGCAT